AAAGAGTGATGGAATTCAAGTCAGGTGACCTAGGTTCAAATCCCAGCAGTGTTGATTATTGAATGCAGGACCTTAAGCAAGGCCTCATTTTCTTCATCTGAAGACTGGGCATAATAATACCTCATGGGGCTGCCATGCTAACTGAATGAGGTAATATATATGTAAATATTTATATATTATGTTAGTCAAAGGTTAAGGCATCATTATTATGCCTCCTAGTGTTTGAAAGAGGTTGTTAAAAATAGCATTATCAGATATCCCACAGTGTGATTCTAGGCCATTTCCATCATTTCTCCTTCTACCAGGCTGGAAGGCATGCAGACATTTTTGAGAAGTTATGCTCCTTCAGGACGTGTCAAAGAATAGCTGGTAACTAAGCTAGCTCTTCACAAATTCAGAGTATCTTGCTTTTAGATTGAGGTGGATAGAAGTTTCAATGTAGGGGGGTCAATAAGAATGCTTCAAGTGATGGACTGACCTGAGGCCAAGTATTAACGGGTGGAAGGACTTTCCAGGACTTCCCTGACCCCAGCTTTTATAAATAGATGGAAACTGAGGCTCAGAAAAGAGAGTTACAATGACATTTTGAAGTGAATTAATAATACTGTACCTAGAGATTGAGAAACACTTGGTGAATATTGCATCCATGAGAATATTGTTTCAGTCCTAGTCTTTGAGCTAGGTAGTAGGTCTTTCATTCTTTCAACCAGTTACAATGCCTCAAGGGAAACTGAGAGACAGATAGCCATGTCTCCCTGCAGAGGGAGAGACTGCCCTTTATTTGAACTAGAGTGTCATGACGACGGACTGAGCTAGTGTGACCGTGCCCTAGCACCCACTGGGATCTAGGATGAGGCAGCGTGTTATTCTGTTAAGTGGTGGAGCTTTCACTGTTCTTCACTCCTGACTCCTCCAACCCCAGCTCCAGCCCAGGGCCACAGGACTAACGACATCCAAGATGATCCTTTCATAATTAGGAAGTAGAAGCTTCAAGGAGCTTCCCTACAAGTTCAGCCACGGAAATAAGTGGACATTTACACGGATACCAAATACACGCTTTGCCGAATCTGACTCTGGGATATACTGGATCCTTTCTCATCTTGATCTTTCCTTTGTACAGTTCTCAGACCAAGGTGAAGACACAAACCTGCTTAACAGCATCATTATAGTATGTCTCATATTACCAGCCTATTTTTTTGTCATGTCCTGGGAGATCTTAAAAAATGATCTCACATGTAACTTTGTGGAATTAACTATAGTATTTGTTCCAAATGCCAAGGGGTTATCAGAGCTTTGCTTTCATGTTGCAAAACCATGGATAAATTGCTCCATTGTTGCTTACCACCAATCACATCATCAGGGAGATTCGCAGGACCCCTCCAGGAAACACCTTTGTCACATTTTGTCATTTACTTAGAATTTCAAACAGAGCCCCCTTTTAGAATGTGTGAGGGGTGAATTCCAATGCCACACGGAAGAACATATGTATATAGATATTTCCCTCTGTTTTACTTTATGTTTTGAATCTATACAGGCAGCAGCCTCAGATTCCAATCACCACAGGAACAGGTGTTGTGTATCCTGGTGCTATTACTATGGCAACTACCACACCATCACCTCAGATGACATCTGACTGCTCTAGCACCTCCGCCAGTCCAGAGCCCAGCCTCCCGGTCATCCAGAGCACTTATGGTATGAAGACAGACGGCGGAAGCCTAGCTGGAAATGAAATGATTAATGGAGAGGATGAGATGGAAATGTATGACGACTATGAAGATGATCCCAAATCAGACTATAGCAGTGAAAATGAAGCCCCGGAAGCTGTCAGTGCCAACTGAGGAGTGTTTGTTTGCTGAATTAAAATACTCTGACATTTCACCTCCCCTCCCCCAACAGAAAAGTTCTTAAAGAGCCCGCATGCATTTGTGGCTCCACAATTACATCAGCAGAATGGTCTTAATTGTTTCGTAAAGCGTGAGACAGATTAAGTTTTCCCAGATTTTTCATGAACTTCAGTTTTTTGTCGTTATTGTTATTGTTGTTGTTGTTTTTTAATTTAGGTGAAGACATATTAAATATGAGACACCAGGACTTGAAAACTTATCTCAACCCATAGCTGTCTTACAAGTCTTATATTTTGTCTTACTTTTTTTCTTTTGGATGTTGATAAAGGTTTAAGTTACTGTTTTAGATGGGGTTAAACATTCTCACTCAGGTATGCTGTGCCAGCCTACAAGTTGTGAATGTGTTTTTATTCTGAATTATTTTAGGAAACAACTGAGAATTTCATATTGTGAAACAGAACAAGTCCATGGCGTGTGCAGCTGCATGTAGAGCATATTCAAAAGGCCTCAGAATTCCATTTTTCCATGTGTAGAGTTAAACTTTGAATGTGCCAAACTTTTTCATAACTTTTGAATCTTAATATTTTGAAAGTCTTAAAGGAGACACTGCAAAGTCTTAGACAATCTTTGGCATCTTAAAATAAAATAGCAAACCACACTTTTTTTTTTTCAGAAAATGGTGAAGTACTCAGGAATCTGGAGACAAGATATTGTAAGGAATGAACAAGGTTGCCACAGTGCATGTACCCAATTGTGTTTGCCTCTTGACGTGCCATCAGTGTGTGACGTGGTACGACGTCCACGCACCAGAGCGATCACCACACCAGATACCGACATGGTGGTCTTCTCTGCCTGAGACCACCTCTCACTACATCCATTATCCCTTTGCCTTTAACCCTGACATTCAGTCTTAACACATTTTCTCTTAAATAATTTATTCATTCCAGAATGTCAAGGGTCCACTTACTATTTATTTAAAAAAATTGTTGGTGGCATTAATTTAATAATTCTTTTTTCTTACCCTCCTTCCCCAAAGAACTTTTCAGCCCTTTTCACCTCCTTCTCCTGCTAGGTACAAAGGTGTACATAGTGATTTTATGTCCCCAGAACATCTGGATGCATTTCTGAAACAAGATACTACTAAATACCTATATTGTTGTTTTTGAACATCAGTGTATATATGGCTATAGAGCTGTGTATTTGGATACAGGTGTAGAGATTTACACTTCAACAGGTATGCCCCTGAGGTTCCCCGTGACTGAATCTTTTGCCAGAATTTTCCCCTAATTCAGTTAGGCAACAAGTGGTAGGATTTGCATCAGTGGCATTTCCCCTCAATGCCATTCAGCAGCAAGGGTCAACAGTGGTGACTGCCAGGCAGGAGAGTCCCGCAGCCAATCTTAAAGCCCAAAGCTGTGGTCCATGTAGGAGTCCACAGGGATGCTGTCATGGGCTGGCACCTTTATACTGTGAGCTGCCTTGTCCCATCTCGCACATCTAGGGAGTTCTTTGCAAAATCCCCAGGATGCAAGAAGCCACGTGACAGCCTCAAAGCAAAGACAGAGGCAAATAGTCGTGATACATCCAGAGAATGAAAGAAAACCGTAGGGAAGGAGAAGGAGGAGAAATACATTCCCTAAATGGGATGTTCCTACTGTTAACTCTGGGGAACAGATCACTCCTGGGGCAGCAGACGAGTTCCTCTGGCTCACTCCCTCCATCTGTGGCTGCATGGGGGTCATGCCTATGTGTGAACAAGATTAACTGCCCTTGTCACACAAGGATTTTTCTGGAGATGCACTGATGGGCTGGGAAGCAGTGAGGCTTCATTCCCCATCTCCTAACTGCAGGGAGCTCAGCCATGCCATTTTGACCTTCCTGAAACCAGGACTGATTGCCTATGGGGAAGCCTCACCCAGAGTAGTTTGATGGGAGAATGTCAGCAGATGGGACAGTTCACCTCATGGGACGACCAGAATCTGATCACCAGGACATAGGAACGGCCCCATCAGATTTCTTGAGCCATTTTTTCACTTGGAAGAAAATAGTGTACCTTCATATTTATTTAAGAGTGCTCAAGGCCATACCTAATAGCAATAAATAGGTCTAGCCAAGACTTTACTGTCTATGTCATTAGCTAGGAGTGCTCTCTATAAACTGATTAAGGTACTGATAGGAATGTTTGGTTCTTAATATTGATTGGGGATTGGAACTTTGTTTTTGTACATTTATTTCAAATGAGGAGGAGGTCGTTTTCCTAAAAAAAAAAAAAAAAAGAGTATTTATTATTGTCTTACTGGTTTCTTTTGATTAGATACCTCTCCTCCTCGGTTCATTCTCACGTTGTTTTCTCTTTCTCTTTGACTCTTGCTTTTGCCCTCTCCCGCTCCTTTTTAATTTTGTTGCATAAGTAGAGTGCTGTATGGCTAGCATTGTATTGTATGTAATTAATTTTGCACAAAGGCAGACATTTAGAATAGTAGGTTAATTTTGTTTGTTTTTATGACCATGCCAAAATAATATTCTGGGCTGGTGGAGAACAAAGGACTGTTCTTTAGGACTGAAACTTGATTTTGCTTGTAGTTAAAAAAAAAAAAAAGAAAGAAACAAAAAAAGAAATCAACAAAAAAAAAACAAAAAACACACACACTCACAGATGTTGTTTCATAAGTGTTATAAGCACTGGATATAAATGGTATTTTTTATCACTTCTGACTAATGTGAAGCTGTTGTACAAAAACTACATGAACAAAAGTCATCTGTTTCGACTCGTGTGGGCTTGCCTCACAGTTGCCGGATTTGAGTCATTTTTATGTCTTGTTATTTCATTTATTTATGCAAAATACATGTGGGTATGAATACTTTGTTTTAGCTCCAGCTCTGCCTCAGTACTGGGGTTCAGTTACTTCTAGCCATGTTCTTAAAAATGAAAGGCTATTCAGGAATGATCTGATTGTAAACGTCTCTTTCATTGGGTCAAACAGTGATGCTGTATTTGAATCTAAATTCCGCACATAAGCAGTTTATTCTATTTATTAGCCAAGTTTGGCTCTAAATATCCATGGAAATTAAGAATGACAATCATAGGGCTCACGTCATTTTATTTTCAGTGGGGCTTAAACAAAGTTTTTATGACTTCACCATCTCATTTTAGATTTTTCTAATTGTGTAAATATAACATAGAAATAGAATTTATTTTTGGCTCATGAATATTTAGTGAAATATAAGTTATGTATTTCCTTTTTGTTCTCTATCCATATATGTTGGTCCAGACTAGAAGTTGACGAGTCACTGTACCTCATGGGGTAGTGAATTATCAGCCACAGTGAGAAAGCAGAGTCCCACCTGTAGCTGGAGCAGTAAAACCCATCACTTGGGTTCTCATACAGTTTAGAACCCACTGTCCACAGACTCAGACTTTCACTTTTTTTTCTTAGAGAAAGTTGATGAATTAAACATCGTGAATTTCCAGCACTGGGAGAGAGTCAATTTGCTTTGTGAATCCACATAAATCTTATAACGTAGTTCCGTGACCGTTTAATAGCATGAAGCATGAATGCCGTTATAAAGGCAAAAATCTTTCTCTGAGATTGGCCATTAATGAAAGTCCCACCATGCCAACTAAAGAATGTTAATCAACTTTTTTTCCCCATTGCTCCCTATTTCATAGTATCTTCAAATCAAAGGTAAAAATTACCTCCATTTTGTTAAAGAACTTGCAGGATCAGGATTTTCCTTGTCACTTAGAATAGGGACACTGGCAGACAATCCTGTCCTAAAAAATGGACCATATGGAATAGGAAGGAAGGAAAGGAAGAAAAAGAAAGAAAGAAAGAAAGAAAGAAAGAAAGAAAGAGAAAGAGAGAGAAAGAAAGAAAAGGAAAGGGCAAGAGGAAGAAAAAAGAAAAAGGAAAGAAAGGAAGGAAGGAAGGAAGGAAGGAAGAAAGGAAGGAAGGAAGAAAGGAAGAAAGAAAAAATAAAGAAAGAAAGAAAGGGAGAGAGAAAGAAAAGGTTAATCTGTGGACAGGAGCAGCCAGGCAGGCAGTTTTTCTGTTTCATTGGCAGATGCGATGCAGTATCTTTTCCAGGAAGGTACGAAAGCTTTGTTGTTTTCACCTGTATTCAGCTCACCCTTTTAGGGGCACATCAGTTTGCTTCATTTGGTATTTGATACACCCCAGCCTTGTCCTCAGGCCTGATTTGATTTGCCAGGGTCCTGACACCATCTCTCAGGCCAAGTTCTAAATTCAGGTGCGGGCTCACAGTGCTATTGAGCTTGTCAAATTCTGGCCTCCCCTGAACATTAGCCCCACTGGAGCCTGGGGTGTTTGAAAAGGGTGTGATCACTCTAGGGCTGAAATTAAAGGCTTCTTTCTTTTCCTTATGAAGCCAGGCTGCTTCTCCGGAGCACACCCTCCTGAGCGGGGAGCACAGGCACTAGCTGAAAGCAGGAATTGTTTTGAGGAAGCCCATCTAACCCCAGTAGGAAGGCAGCCCGGTCACTTGAACACCACAGCTGAGGCTGCTTCTCTCAATTTACTCGTCTTGCAAAGAGGTGACCTCTACCTACTCATTAGGGAAAAGAAAAAGAATCAGTTAGTAGTTTTAAACCGTATGAGAAGTCCTGTACCAAGTGCCAACAACTGCAAAGAATGCAGCTAGAGGAATGTATTGACTTTATTACTGGGTCTTCCTTTCTAATGAGAAAATGACAAAAATGGTTGCTGTAGCCTTGCCTGATTTTGTACACGTTTGTTTAAGGACTGAGTTGGCACTTAAACTCACTTCTCAAAAGTATAATAATATTGTATGACCTCATTTGTCCTTTTTCAAAAGCACTTGCATCATTTCCTTAAGTCCTCTGTCCCCTGACATGTTTTCTTCCTTAATAAACAACTTCTATCTGCTATTCCTGCCGATTATGTTCTGTTTCTGATGCCATGTACTATTGAGTGTAACCCTCTGCTAATATCACTGAAAATATTGATATGCAAACACATTTCCCTTTCATCCCCATGCCATCTTTTCTTTGGGGGACAGATTCTTCCCAAAAGCTCATGAACAAGTATTTGGAATGCTGGTACCTTTGGGGCAGGGCTAGAGGTGGGAGGGGGAGGGGCAAAAAGGTAAAGCTTAGTGCAGATACTCTTCTAATTGGTGTCCGTGGCAATATGAAAGCTTAAAGGCAACTCAGTGACGTATCTTGCTCAGTAGCTTCTTATTCCTGAAGAACCACAAGCAGGAAGTGAGGCCTCAGTGCTGGTGCTCTTGGAATATGGGGAATGTGCAAATATTTAACTGTTTTGTATGCTGCACATTTGCAGACCTGCTCATGTGCATTCTCCGTTTGTCTTCCTTTGTCATATGTGTTTTTGCTTTTTTGAAAAGTGCAGTCTTTATTGTACCCTTTCCAGCTTGTAGCAAATTAGAATGCTTAGCATTTATGTTCATTCATTATTGTATTTGCCATGTAAAATTTTTATTACCTTAGACAAGCTTATAAGCTGTTACTACATAACTTATCTTACTGTAACTCTTATTTCCCGACATTGTAATTTGTTTGTGATGTATATTGTGAGATTGTATTCTGTGTTAATTTAATCAGCACAATTCACTGACATGCTGGACTGAATGCTGGCTGCTGTTTCAAAGTGTAAAGTTTGTGTAGGGCTGTTGGGACAACTGCAAGTCTGTTGTCAAGGTGCTGTGCTGGTTCCTCTAGCGACACTGCGGGTGCGGCCCTTGGGACGCTAAGGGCGTTGAATACACCCTTGAGCAAATTTTAACTGCAGATATTCTTTGTAGAAATTCTGTGTATAATGCAGGTACCTACTTGGCCCGTGGCTGGTAACTATTTGGGCAATTAGAAAAACAACAAAAACCATAAAAACTAGTGTCTATTGCTGCTTTGAATATGTTTGAAAGTCTGAAAATGTAAATAGTTTATCAAAAAAAAAAATCTTGTACAGTCCAGTGTAAAGTTTTTAAATGACCTTAAGGGTTGCCATCACATCTTTCTCAC